TATATGTTTTAAGATCATTGGCCCAACTAGGAACCCTGGACCTCAAGGAGAAGAGCCTTGTCTCTAACCAACAGGTTTACAAATGCTTGATATTTGTTCACTCAATATTGAAAATGTTTTTGCTGCCTTGCATCTTGATCTATTATACTGTTTTCCCTATGGCATTAGTAATAGCTCCTGGTAAAGAAATGATCTTTGTATTTAAAGGAACCTCTGGAGCACTTACTCGAGGAGATATTGATCGTGTATTCTTTCATCTACGTATGTCTCCTATTTTTGAGTTGTATGAGTCAGAAACAACACCTGTAAAAACAGTAATCAAGAACAGCATTACAGAAGAGGGCAGCGATCGTGTAATTGATATCTATTTTTACATTTTCTCAGCATCCACAGATTGTAGTCGGCCTAATGAGAATGGAAGAGTGAACAATACCAAAGTTATTAAAGTGATAGATAGAGTGGCAAAACTAGTTTTACCCCAAGCACTATCTACACGTGCATCTTATCATTTTATATTTATTGCAGACCCAGAAGTTGGAGTCTTTGGTTTAGCATATGTTGTAAGAGGATACCACTCACGTCCAATGGCCCCATCTAATGAAAATATAATAGCTAAAGGGTCTTATTTTTCTTGCAATCCAGAGGACTTTACACTTTTCAGTGGATACAAAAATATGATTCTAGCAACCCGGTGGCCTGGTCAATTGCTAGTAATTTTCTTGAAATCAATTGTTTTTATAATGCAAGAAGACTGTAATGCTGTATTATATTTTGGTAAAATATCAATATGGGACTCAAAAACATATGGGATGAGTTTTGATTGTGTTTTTAGGATGCAAGAGGATGGAAATTTAGTTCTTTATTCAGCATTTGATAGTGAATCATTATGGTCAACTGGTAATTATTGCAAGCCCCAACCAAATTGTGTTGCACTCTCAGAATTGGCACTTGAACAAGACTGTAATTTGGTTGTTTATAAATATGGGAAACCAAATGTTCAATCTTGGGCAAGCAAAACCAAATGCTAAGCTTACTATGGTTATTATTATTATTATTTATGTTTGATTATAATTTTTTTTTAAAAAAGATATAATATCCAAAGGAATGTCGTGAAATAGATGCAGTAAAGTCAATGCCACTACCCTTTATATTGATTTAGATTAATTTTTGTATGTTTCACAAAGTGTTTTAAACCTTTTGTTTTAGTGTCACTATTATTCCTAGTAGATTCCGTCCGCCACTAGGAAACCTCCAAAGTCTTTTGTGTGGAATCCCTTGTATAATTCATGTGAAAGAATATAAATCGCCTATAAACTAGAGCATTTGTATCCATTTCCCTATGCTGGGGACTCCACTATTGACAACGAAAAGCATGTAATACCCCGGAGGGGCTATTGTTTTTGTAGGAGGCGCTCGTACTACGAACGTATAGTATCCAGAATTCTCATCAAGTACTGGCGTGCTTGATTCCAGCTTGAGCAGCCTCTGATTCATGGAATAAGCGTGTGTCGCAAAGGCTGGAGCATACAAAGTAGCTTCCGTGTCGCCCAATACCGAGACCGAGAACTCGATCGTGATCTGAGAGTTGTATCCAATCACCACCTTAGACATGGAACTTATCTCAGCTCTCACACCATCGAAATACGAGTCCAAGTATGGAGGGCTGAAAGCTTCGATCCTCAGCTCTGTGGGGAACAAAACTTCGCTAAAGTCATAGCCAACGTTTGGATTGCTCCCGGCCACGAGAACTCTGGTATCCGGTAGCAAAATCGCTGTGGAGTGGTACATGCGTGGGATACTTGCGGAAGCTAGAGTGGTGAACTTGGACGACGAAGTTGAGGAAGGAGAATACAAGAGTGGTGTCAAAGCTGGGTTTCTCGCGAACCTCCATCCGGCGGTGCCTTGTTGAGCCCCGTTGATAATGAGAACTTCTCCGGTTGGTAAGTTTAACATGTCGCCCATGACCCTTGGAAGTGGCATCTCTTCCAATATCCAACTTGGGTTATTGTCCGTCACCACCATTCTCCCACAAGTTTTTAGAGCAGTCTCGAACGACCCCGATGATGCTTGCTTATAAGCCGTCTTTGAAGCTCCACCACAGATCAGCACCTCCACGCGCTGGAATCTCTGCGAGGCGAGCAGCGGGAGCATGACCGAGGATCCCGACGCTGGATAGTTCCTCGCGCCGCCTGGTAGACTCGGGTAGGACCGGACGACCTTGTTGTTCTTATAGTCGAGAAGAATCGACTCGGAGTTTGCAAAGACGAACATGTTCCCGTCCGGGAGGAGGTGCAAGAAGGGATAGAGATTGTTCTCGGATCGCCCATCGCTGGTCGAGCGAAGAAACGGAAGGCTGTAGAGGTGACCATCTCCAGGGACGAATTCATAGCTGAATGCCACTCGACCACCGACGACTATAACGCGATTATCCGGAAGAATCTGGTTCGAGGCGTACCATCGAGGCCTCTGGAGGCCTCCGGGCTGCTCGGTCCAGTCGCAATCCTCGCAAAAGTTGTAGTGGCGGACGACTCTAGCGCCATCGTTCCATCCCCCTGTTTGAGTGAACGTACCATCGGCTCGAAAGGCCCCCGAGGAGCACCAGGTATCTGTAAGAACTTCCAGGGGACGAATGTTGCGAGTGGGAATTTGGAGCTCCACCGAGTGAGCCCAGCAATCGATCTTGAGCGCGAGATCCGAGGAATCGTTCCGGCATCGTCCGTGCGGGAGCCTTATCGCCGAGGGTCCGTAGTCCGTCCTGTCGAATATGAGAACTTTGTTGGTGTGTGAGACGAGCATATGCATGGCTGATACACCGGAGTTTTCGACGAGCAATTCCCAGAACCCAGGAGGAGAAGCTCCGGAGCCATGCCTGAAAGCTCCAGAAACCCACAATGCTAGCACTAGTGTTGTGATCACCCGGAGTTCCATGATGGATGATAACTCTATGCAAATGGATGGATGCGAAAGAACTAGATTGATCGATCGAGCTGGAAAGTGATCCTAGAGTTCCAGTAAGATGATAGATCTCTATCATTCAGTGCACCAACGCTTTGACGGAGTGCAAGCAATCACTCGGACTGTGACACGGAAGCCGAATGCCACCAAAGAAAAGACGATGTTATCGGGTATTATTCCAAGAGCGTTGCGACGTATGTACGCATGTCAGGAAGGCAGCCGCTTTGTCGTTCTACAGTCTTTTCTATTTTAATTCCATTACCATTTTTCTGTTTTTCTGTATATTTTTATAAAGTCAGGAACACTGCATCATTCTAACGGTGGTTGTGAATTATAATATTATATAGTCCCAGACAAAAACAACGACCGGCTTCCCAAAAGTTCTATTGTTATAGTGGCCATTTTGATCCTTTCGTTGCACTGCAAACGGTGAGAATGGGACCGAGGTGAATTAAAACATCATTGTCAAAGGTCCACACCACCTTCAACGTAATTAGTAGCACAAACTCAAACACACAGAAAAAACAAAACGAAACATGGCTAGTTGCGACAAATATGATGGAATCAAATTCATTCTTCAAACGAAACAGTTAAAAAACAGATACACATTTATTCACTCTGAAAACTAGATATGTTCAGTTTAAATCTAGATTAATACATACAAATACTTGCCAATCTTGTTTTGCCCCAAGCTCAATCTACACGGGACATCTTATCATTTTATATTTATCACAGACCATATGTTCTTGAGCTCCAAATAGATATCTTACAATGGCAGTCATCTTGCTTTAAAAGAGCATTTGGTTTGAAGTACCAAAGACTCCAACTTCTGGGGATAAGTTTTGATTAGGAGGATGGGCTTTATGGAGCATTTGATATTAAATCGTTATGGTCAGAAATTGCAAGCCCCAACCAGATTGTGTTACACTTTCAGAATTTACACTCAAACAAACCTGGTATATGAATATGGATAGCCAAATCTTCATATTACAATATTGCCACATCAACCGGGTTATAACATGTCATAGCAGTGTGACTTGTGGTATCACGGTCTTGCTCACGTTTCTAAAGCAAGAAAATGCCGAACTTCTTTGGTGTCACTCGACTTGGACCTCCAGACCTGTTTGCTTGTAGTTCCAAGGAGCATTGCTCTCGGTGTGACCAAAAGCCTCGAAAGGGCATTGCCGAGACATCACTGTATCGCTTCATTGAGGCGTTCCAGGAGCGCCAAGAGACCGAGAATCTGTCGCAGCAAGTGAGACGAGTTAACGTTCCACAGGTGATTGAGAAAGCTCTGGGTAGAAAACTGGATGATCAAGAGGCGCAGTTTATGGTAGAGTAAGTTCTTTTCCTCGAAATGTGGTTTTCTCGTGTAAAGCATGCTTGCTTCTAGTGTAGACACTTTCGACTCAACATTGGGAACATAAGCTTGGGAGAGTTTGAGTTTTGTATGAAGAGATTCCACCATGCTCAAGGTATGAATCCATGAGACGAAAGAACCCATCGTGAAACGCTTTTGGGATTCAAGGTGAGGCTGACGCTGCAGCCCAAGACAAACGCAAAGGAAGAGCCTGCGGTAAGAACAGCGATCACCATTTTCTCTTTCTCGTATGAATGGAATGGAATGTCCGAAACAGGTGGTGATTATGAGATTCCAAAGAGAAATTCCAGTGCTGCGGTGCGAAAACTATCGTTTCCTCTCTGGATCTTGATAGAAGTTCTTCTTATTTGCTTTGGTTCGCAGATCGCAGGGCTCAAAGTGAAACACATTCGCAACAATTTCGCTCCAGTAGACGTGCTCCAATACCCTCTCACCGAGAGCCAGGAAATTGGATGGGATATCGAGGCGAGAACAAAGCCCAAAGACGAGTACTACCCTCGCAAGCAAGAGGACGTCACGAGAAGCGAAGGGATTTGCCTGGAAAACTACTATCCCACATTCTAGGAGCTCTAGCCCTAAACTTTAAAAAGCGAATATGCTAGTTCTAGAATATGCTTCTACTTAAGAAGCATGTTTCTGTAGAGCTCTAGGGTTTGAGCGAAAATGTCCCAAATGGACGATGACGGAGCTGCGCTTAGCGATTTCGAGGACGACGATCTGGAGGCCGCGCCGGTAGTGGTGCCGTCGAGATCTCAGGCGGCCGATCCGGCGGAGGATGGCGATGCGAGGTATGTGCTCCTCAAGAAGGAGCTGGATCGGCATCTGGAGGGCGAGAATGAGCTGAGGAAAGCCCTGGCGGATTCCTCCGAGAGGCTGGAACAGGTAGTGAAGCAGCGGGACGATGCACAGAGGCAGTTGGAAAATATTTCGAGGCAGAGGGAAGATGCGAGCAAGGCCAGGACGGAGATCGAGACGTCGGCTAAGCTGTTGATCGCTGGGGCGGAGAAGCTCACGGGTCTGGTCGGAGACAACAAGGGATTTACGGGAGGATTTCCAAGATCGTCCAAGTACACCGGCCTCGCAGCGATCTGCCATGGGTTTTGCAAGAGGACCGAGGAGCTCATGGAGGAGGTTTTGAAGCAGCGTGACGCTGCCATCAAGAGCAGGAACGAAGCTCGGAGCCAGATGGAGCAGAGGAACTACCAGATTGCTATCGAGGTTTCCCAGCTTGAGGCTTCGGTGGTTCGATCAAAGGAGGAGCTGGAGAGGAGAAGTTCGGAGTGGGAGAAGCTATCGACGGAGAAGCTGGGCGTGCAACGCGAGCTGGAAGAAAAGCTTGCGGCGACGTCCAGGGAGGTGGAGAACTTGAAAAAGAAATGTGAGAGCACGGAGGCTGGAGCTAGATCTTTGGAGAGCGACTTGGATGACTTGAGGAAGAAGCTCGTGGAGCAGATGAGAGGCTACCTTGCAACCGAGGAATCCGTCGTGAATTTTCTGCAGAAGATCGAGGGAAAGGCTGTGAAGGCTGTTCCCGAGCTACCATTTTCGAACTTCAGCGACGCGGAAAGAGTTCACAAAGAATATTTGAGACGAGTCCAGTCTATTTCTGATACGTTGGCTCACATGAAGAACAGCTGGGAGGAGAAGGAAGAGCTAAGACTGAAAGAGAAAGCTGACGTTGAGACTGAACTACAGCGTTTGTCGCAGCGGGAGAAGGACATGGTTTCTTTCTTGAAAAACTCGTTGTTTGAGAGGAAAGACACGGGCGAGGAAGTAGACATGCCAACTCTGGTACGTATATATTTGCGGAAGCTTTTTCTTAGATTGTTTTTACAGGCCAATGTCATGGACAGTGAGCTGAGGAGCACGAGGTTGAAGGTTTTGGATTCAGAAAGACAACTAGCAGACGCGAGGTTGGTGCTTTTCTTATCTCTTGACCGACTAAAGTTTTTTCTTTTCCCAGCATGGAGATTGAGAAGATGAAGAAACTTTCATCGTTGCAAGCAAAAGATTTGGCAGCAAAGACGGCACGCGTTCAAGAACTTGAACTGAGATATGGAATTGTTTCGGAAAATGTATATCGCTTGTTTTTGCCTCGAGTTCCTTTCTGACTTCTCATGTATCAGGTCGAGGGGCTTACCGCGGAGATTGCTGCCGCAGAAGAAGAGTTATTGCGATGGAAGAAAGCGGCTACAGAGGAGGCAGCTGCTGGCGTAGCAATCCTGGAGGAAGTCGAAAAGTGCAATCAAGAGGTTATCATAATTCTCATTTCTCTTTTCCTTGTAAGGCTAATCAACTCGCATGTCATGCCAGATTACAACGCTGAACCAGCTGGTGGTTCATCTCAGACAGTCGCTAGAAGAGGCGAATAGCAAGCTTCAATCAAAAGAAGAGATGGCAGCAGCCGCAATAGCTGCCCGTAACGCTGCTGACAGGTCACTAAAGATTGCCGACGAAAGAGCAGCGGAGCTTAGGGAGCGCCTCGAAGAGATGTCACGGCAGCTGGAGGACGTAGAAGCTCAAGTGGAGAGGAGTAGAATCTGCGGGGGAAAGCTTCTGGAGGTGTTTCCATGGCTGCAGGGAAGAATCAGTAGTTACAGGGCTAATCTCAGGCAGGCGACTGTTCCTTCGGCTGAGATGGAAGAGCTCACGGAACCTTTGGTGTAAATATACGTTCTCCAGCTTCAGGTAATTCGTGTTTTCTTATTTTACGTTTGGCATCGGTTCCTGCCTTTTGCAATTAAGTATATTTCTCGCGACGTAGATCTCGATGCTTTCGGTCTTAACCACGACACTGATCTGAAGTATTTGTTGCAGTAGTCCGGAAAGCCTACACGAACAAGTACAAGATGAGATAGAGGACGGAAAACCGAGCAGCAAATCCTCTTACCTTGGCTCTCTTCACCTTCGAGCAGCTTGATCACGAGGCTTCCAGACGGTACAAGCAAGCCATTTACTTTCTTGGTGCTATCTCTCTCGTCATCAGGGTGAAAGCCAAGCGCCAGTTCTAGAGCTCGAGAGCCAAGCTCGGCGGAAAGCGTCGCGTCTTTGAAGCCAATGCCTGAGACACTGGGACACATGTCGGAGAGAATGACATTATATGCTTTCTGCGAACACAAGTACGTACTCTTCTTCAAAAAGAAGAAATAAAAGAACTGATTTTTACCTCTGGTGTCATGGCAGCCAGTGTCTCGGGTTTGATCTTCATCACGTCTGCGGCAATGGCTTTCACCCGGTGATCAGTGTGGTCTCCTGGAACATTGATTTTCTAAACGAAGGTAGACGCAAATTTCAAAGTAGAAAACGGAAAGAGCTTACTTTGGTGTCGACACCAACAACGACTCCACCTTGGTCGCGTGTTCCCAAGTTCTGGCAAGCCACCTGAAAGAACCAGTGTAAGCCAAGTTTGTCTTTTTCAATCTTATTTCTGTCACACTAACCTGTAGCCACGCACCAGGAGCACACCCAAGGTCCAGAATGGCCGCTCCGGGCTTGAGTATCCGGTGCTTCTCTTGGATCTCCACCAGCTGATTGATCCAACAGATCAAGGAGTTACTCTATAGTGGGTCTTACCTTGAAGGCCGATCGAGCAACATATCGAAGCCGGAGCGCCTCCTTGTAGAAGAAATCTGGGACATGCGAAGCCATAGCGACGCAACAGACCTAAAAATGCTGTGATGTACCTGAGGATCAAGCGAGCAACCACGTTGGTGGTAAGTTCTCTTCTCTTTCTTTCGTAAGCTTTTAATGGCTTTGTTTGTAGGCTGTGGCTGTGAGGAGGAGAAGCATAATTACGTTGAGCAAAGAAGAACTTGCCAAGGAATCGGACGTGTTGGAGTTTCTCGATAGCTTACACAAGGGGAAGCTCTCGCGGAACGAAGCAAACTACGCACAGGCTCTACACGCGTGTACCAAGCTCAAAGCTCTAGAGCTGGGCAGGCAAGTGCATTTCGAGATACACAGAAGCGGGTTCGAAGAGAATTTGCAGCTGGGGAATCACGTCATCAACATGTATGCCAAGTGTGGAAGCCTGGCAGAAGCTCGGGCTTTCTTTGACAAGCTAAGTCCCGAGAGACGGAACGTTTTCACTTGGACGGCGGTTATGTCAGCATATGCCCAAACGGGACACTGCAAGGAGACTGTGAAGCTGCTGGGTTTGATGCTGCTCGAGGCTGCCGTGAGGCCGGACAGGGTGGTCTTCATCATAATGCTCGAAAGTTGCTCCGGTACTGAAGATCTTCCAGAGGGTCGGATGATCCACCGTTTGGCCGTCGAGTGCGGGCTTGTCTCACAAGTTATGGTCGCCAACGCTCTCATCAACATGTACCGCAAGTGTGGGAGCCCGGTGCTTGCTCTTCAGACTTTTCAGTCGATCGAGGCCCCCAATATCATCTCTTGGACGTCGGCAATCGAGGCACAATCACAAAACTTCTGCGGAGGGCAGGCACTACACTTGTTCCACCGCATGCAGCTCGAGGGAGTGAGGCCCAACCTCATCACCTTTGCAGTGGTTCTAGAGGCTTGCGACTCTTCCAGGTTCTTGGACGATGCCAGGCTACTACACAAGTTGGCTATGGAGAATGGCTTTGACGGGGACTCGGTCGTCGGCACCATTCTCGTTCGCACTTACGTCCTGTGCAAAAGCTTGGACGACGCTCGAAAAACTTTCGATGGCTTGAAGCTCAAGAGTTTGGTCTCGTGGACGGCAATGATCCAGGCGTATGCTGAGAAGGGACTAGACAAGGAAGCATTCCATTTGTACCGTGGAATGGGACAGGAAGGTCTACAACCGGATCGAGTAAGCTATCTTCTCCTGCTAGGCACTTGCGACCGTCCAGAGAAGCTGGAAGTTGGAAAGAGGATCCACTCTCAGCTAGCAGCAGGAGGATTTGAGAGGGACACCGCCGTGCAAATCGCTCTGGTGACCATGTATGGTCGGTGCGGGGATTTAGAGGCGTCAACTTCGGTGTTCTCGACGATCGAAAGAAGCTGTGACGACGAGATCTGCTGGAATGCCATGCTGGGAGCGTATGGCCAGAACGGACACCCGGACGAGGCATTTGCTCTCTTCCGCAAGTTCATGCTCTTGGGACTCAAGCCCAGCAGGCCCAGCTTCCTCACCATCCTCGGCCTCTGCGAGAGTCTACACACTGCCAGGACTCTCCACGAGAACGTGGTGGAGAGTGGACTAGAGCAGGAGTTCACCATCCAGACGGCTCTCATCAGCTGCTATGGCAAGTGCGGGGGCCTGGACGACGCAAGCAAGATCTTCGACGGCATGGAGGAGTGGAACCAGGCGTCGTGCAATGCGATGATGGCAGCGTTTTCTCAGCGGGGGCAGTGCGGCCGGGCGATGGAGCTCCTCCGGAGGATGCTACTGGCAGGAGTGAAGCCGACGGAGTCGACGCTAGTAGCAGCTCTCGACGCCTGCGCCGCCGCCAGCTCCGCCGCCCATGGCCGGCACGTCCACTCGCTCATCGATCAGGCAAAGCATCTGGAGACCAACGTGGTGCTCGGGAACGCTCTGGCGCAGATGTATGGGAAGTGTGGGAGGCTGGAGGAGGCTTGCGAGGTGTTCCACCGGGTGTGGAGCCACGACGTGGTGTCCTGGACGGGGATTGTCGAGACACACGCGAGGTATGGCCGGGGTGGCGAGGCTTTGCTCCTCTTCTACAAGATGCAGCAGGATGGGAGCCGGCCAAACAACATCAGCTTTACGTGCATCCTCTCGGCTTGCAGCCACGCCGGGCTCGTTCGCGAAGGCTGCCAGTTGTTTGAGTCGCTGGTGAGAGACCATGGTTTGGTTCCCTCGGAGCTCAACTTTGGGTGCTTGGTTGATCTGCTGGGACGTGCTGGGAGATTGGATTTGGCCGAGGGGTGCTTGAGCAGGGTGGCTCTTGACAGGAACTTGAGGATGGTTTTGCTGGGGGCTTGTAGGAATCAGGGTGATGTGGAGAGAGGGAGGAGGGCTGTGGGGGATGTGTTTGCTGCCAAGGATTCGAGCTCGGAAGCTGGCTATGTTCTTCTTTCGAATTTGTATGCTGCTTCTACGAAGAAATGATTTTAGAAGTGTTTGTTTAAATAATGTTATTAAGGCCAGTGACATCAAAAAACTTATTAAACGTGAGATCGTCCACGTAGTACTTCACCCAAGTATAAAATGTATTTTTAAGTCATACACGATTTCCTTTATTTTATTAATAGAAGATAATAAAAGACGCGGCTTTGACGAAGAAACAACCGGTTTTTTCTTATGCAGGCACATCACATTTTATTTATTTATTTTTGTCTCCTTGAATCCATTGCATTTCCTCTCAGCAGCAGCAGCAGAGGATGTCAAGGCAGCACTCGCAAGTCTCATAACACATGAAACAGCAGCACGCCGCGAAGAGGCTACAAAACACCAACCGAAAAGCTTACAGATCTCCACTCGAAAATTCGCAACAAAAGATTGGAGGGGAAGAAGTAGAATTTACCATGCGTACAAGCAGCCCCTGTCCTCGCTCCTCTTTTGTATGTGGTCGCTGGCGCTCATCTGCTGGGCCTCTGGCGCATACATCCTCTTCTCTCTCGCAAAAGGTATGAATTGGAGGAAAATAGAAAAGGTCTAATAAAGTACGTCTAGATGCGCATATCCGCAGCATCTAAAATCTCAACCGTTAGTTCTCACCAACGGTGTGGATTTAACGCGCGTGCAAAAGCTTACGAAATCTATTTTGCTTAAACCAAAACTGTAAAAACACGTTTAGAATCTAATTTTCTTACTTTATAGATAGAGAAACTCCTCGAATAGTTCTTAGCAGCAGCAGCAGAGCATGAGGCAGCACTCACAAGCCTCATAGCACATAAAGCAGCAGCAGCTTGTAAAGAGGCTACAAAAGACCAACCAAAAAATCTCACTCGAAAATTCGAGCAAAGATCTAGCAAAGCAGAAGTGGAATTTACCATGCGTATAAGCAGCCCCTGTCCTCGCTCCTCGTTTGTACGTGGTGGCCAGAGCTCATTTGCTGGGCCTCTGGCGCATACATCTTCTCCTTCTCCCTTGCAAAAGGTATGAAAAACAAAAGAACACCAGGCTCGTGCGGATATCCGCGGCATCTAAAATCTCAGCCGTTAGCTCTCACCAACGGCGAGGATATAAGCCACGCGAGAATTCCTCTCTCGGGAATCTAGGGCTCGCTGATTAGATTCGTTTCTTCCATGGCGATGGCGGCGCTATGGGGGGGAGTTTGGGCGAGCTCGAATACCGAGCACGAGCACTAACAGAAAGCCCGTGAGTGGAATCATTCCCACGGGTTCACTTGGGTGCTTACAATCTTTCCTTTCCTTTGTGGAGTGTTTCGTTCCATCATTTGGCAAAAGGCACAGAATCTCTCCTTTCTGTGTTTTTAATGCTGGTGGAACAAGATGAAACAAAACCTTGCATTCGTTTCAACCAGATTGTGGCTCTCCACAGCCTCTCTGGCGTACAAAGATGCATACAAGAAAAAAAAAAAACCATCGAAGTGAATCTCTCCTGTCCTGTGCTAGCAAAACACTACAAAACTTTGAGAATAAAAACAAAAGCTCAAAGCTCATCTTTGCGATCCATTCTCACACCAATCCATTCTCTTCATAGACGATGAAACTCAACTCGCGAGCCTGGACGAGCCTGGAAAGAGAAGTAGAAAGTTTATCTCGAGCTAGCAAAGTAAATCAGTGGCATACGTCTATACCTCGAGAGATCTTTCAGTAAGTCTTGGAAGGATCGGTTCGTCTCATGCCTTGCCTGCTGTAATAAGGCGTCTGCTCGATCGTTCTACTCACGTACTCCGTGTAAGGCTGCGGCGGAGTCCTGCTATACGTTCTGTACTGGACGGGAGTTTGGATGGTGTCGTCCACGGCTCCATTCACCAGTACTCCCGAGGCACCGTCGTCCTGGACGACTTGCGCGACCAGCGGCCGCCTTCGCGTTGGCGATGGCGTCGCCGGCGAGCTTCGGAGAGATCGCGGGAGGTCCAGGAGTTTGGTGCACAGGAACACGGGGAGGACGATCGCCACCAGAGTTATAACCGCCACCGTGAAGATCTGCTGGAACAGCGCTGCCACGTTAAATTGCCCGGCATCGTAAGCCATCGAAATCTCTTCGCGCTGGCCTGTACGATAGACAACGGACTTTGTAAGATCTCACACAAGTTCACCACGATGTAAATGCTTACCCGTAGTAGTCAGCAAAAAAACCAACTTGTCTGTGAAACTCTTGTCTTCCTCGAGCAGCAGCACCTGAATAAGCAACAACGTTGTACGTTCCCGTGTCCAAATGCCAAATATCCTGCACATACCTCGTAAACCGCATGGCCGCAAACACCCGGCTCTTCTGTCCTGGTGAGCCTTTTCACCTCAACTGCATCCTTACGTTGCCATGAAACGGCAATCGCTCCTGAGAAATCAAAGCGATCAAACCAAGCCGGTAGTACCACAAGGATACGTACCTACAGTTCCCACCACGGCTATCCTGCTCTTGTTCGACGTGACGGACAATTGAAGCTAAGAAGAAGAAAAGAACGAATCACATCGAGTGCCGAATGGAGCAACTACATACCTGTGAAGGTGTGTCGATGATAGAAAATCCTCCAGCGAAGGTACAATCAGCAGACCCAGCAACGCTTGGCGTTCGAGAAAGCACCGCTGTTACTGACATGCCTATCCGTCCTTTTGCATCACCCCGGTCACTAGTAGCTCTCTTTGATTTCAGTTCTCCGTGCAAGTTATATGAAAGTTTCTCTGGCGCGTAGGGGAAAAACAAACAGTAGAACGTGCCTGAATCTGGATCATGCCACGGAGCTGCACGCCTGTAAAAAACAGTGTTCAGAACAGGTAACGCCAAGGTAATTCTTACCCAATGAACGATGGATCGACTTTGCAATCATAAGAAATAGGTCTACTTTCGCCGATCACACTGACATCGTCTCCATGCGTATCTCTGAGTAACAGCACAAAACGTTAATAGATCAACTGTAAGAAGCCAACGTACTTGAATTTGACAGTAAATTTGTAGCCTTGGTCAGGGAAAGGAGCATTGGTGACGAATGGAAATGATGGAGCTTCAACAGTGACAGTGGATATGCCCACCACACTTAGAGATGTGTATGCTGTCAAACGTGAGCCGTTGAAGCTTACTGCAGAAAAAAAAGGAAATAAAAATTACTCCCAGCAAGTTAAGACCAAAACATCCTTACCAACAGTAGAACCTTCTGAGAGAGCCTCGGCTTCCCCTGTGCGACTGTTCACAAGAACAATATGCTCGTTTCCACTAGACCATTGGCCGCGGTCCAGTGAAGAAACACCAGATGATAGAAAGCCTGTGTAGACGAAAGTAAGAACATTATGGGCAAATACACGCGTTACCTTTCCCAGCAATGGAAAAGTTTACACGATCTCCAATATGCATAACTGGATTACGTGGATAGACATATGCACCCACAAAAACCTGGAGAAACTTTGTTAAAACTGAAAAATACTATCACATGCTACTGTACCAGGATGTAATCGGCAATGTCGACTTTCTGCTTTTGAGATATACGGATTAATGCTTTACCTTGCCGCAAGGCCTATGAGAAAGAAATATAATAATGATAGAAACTCAAGAGAAGCAATACCTGCACAACAATCGCTACAGTCGTCGAACCACCAGAAGCCTCAAGCTTTGTGGCCTTCAAAGAAACCACATCAGCACGGTTCGTCTCTAGGGACAGCGGCAAAGACTCCAAATCTACTTCGAAAAACGGTGTTCCTGGAGGCACAATTTTTTTAGTGTCGCCTTTCGATGATCGAAATTTCAGCACCTATATTGTCGCGCAAATTAACAATAAAACTATGTTGTGTTCCGACAGAAAGTTCGGAAACATGAACTCTGTCCCCAACAGTCATTTGTGCCACCTGTTTAAACAAAGCGTTCATTACGTGCAAGAAAGAAAGGATCTGATAATGTACCTCTGCAACTCTGACACAGACAGCAATCTCGGATCGGCCAGCATCTCTGTCTTTCGCATGTATACAGGCAACATCCATCCTGTCAGCTGTGTTGATACGTCCATCGTCAATAGTGAATATTTCGCTGCCGGCAACTCCGTCCTGAGAAAGATATGAACAACGCTGAGGCTTGAAAAGAAGTCGAAATAGAGACGTACATGCATCAGAGTATATGTAATCGCTCGAGTTGTCAATCCATCTACCACCCGCTGAGGCAGTAATTTTGAAGATCTGTGGCCTGGGGGAAGTACCCAGGTCGCCAGCATTCCAAGTGCCAATGGAGGATCAGGGATCACAGAGATCGATCCTGATGCTGAATAATTTTTGGGAACCGAATGCCCGCCCAGAGTATGGAATTGACAAATAAAGCTCACAGAAACAGTGGTCATACCAGCAGATCTGAAACACATAAAGTTGTCAGTATTTTTCAAACAGCATAAAAATGAACTGACTTTCCAAAAACTCTTGCAGAGAAACCTGCATCAACTAGCCAAGTGGATTCGCTACCTCCATCAGGAAACTTCTGAGTATGACCTGAACTAGCCGGCTTTACGCTTTCCAGTTGCAGAACCTAAAACGCTTAACCAGTAAACGCAAATAAATTGTGAAAGTGTTTACCTCCTCGTCCGCAACGAGCCATTCATAGTTTGTACACATCTCAAAGAAAGAGAAAAGATTTCCCTGCGGAACTTATCAGACATGTTTTACAAAATAAAAAAGAAAAGAAAAAGAAAGAAAAAAAAAAAAAAGCAAAACGAAAACAGCATATTACCTCGTTAGAGAAAGGATAAATCGACATTTCCCTTCCCGTTCCAAGCTGCCCCCCTCTAACCTCCAAATACATTGAAACAGGTATAGCCACTGTTATCTCAGTAAAGGCTTCACCAAGCAAATTCCCGTCGTTATCAAATGCTCTTGCTAAAATAACCTGCAAAATGATAAGGTTTCATGCGAAATTCCGTGACTACTAACAAACCTCATTCCCAGCCGATTTTGCCGTGACCAGTCCTGAATTGCGATCCACAACAGCAATTAAAGACTCCGAGCTGGAAAACTCAACAACTTTTCCAGTCCTCGGGCCTCCATGAACAACAAGCTGAAACAGTACAAAAATCAACATTTTTCTACATTTTAATAATCACTTACCATGAACTGTGCCCCAGGTGCCATTACTAATGGCGATGGAATAACTTTCAGTGGAGCATACACCTCAGCCTTAACAACGGTACTATGTATTTCACGACCGGAAGCTTTTTGAGCTGTAACCTGTATTAGAATCTTGTCAGTCAAACGGTTTGCAATGGGGACAACATACGTGGAAACTGCTGAAACCAATGTCGGCACCCTGAATGTAAAAGGAATTTCCCGGTACTCGAGTTGACGTCT